TTCAGTGGCCTCGTTTCGCTTCGACGGCTTTCAGCCTCACCCTGCTTCATTCTACTACGTTAACAAATCATTAGCTCATCCATGAACATGATTTCTGTCCGAGCCCCGTCGGATTGCATCGGCTGTGGGGATGAAGACGACAACTCCCATGATTCCACACTCAGTCACGGCGTCATCAAACTACGCCTTTGCCTCTTTGTTTATTTTGAATACGCGGCCTCCAGCGGCGAAAATTACATATTGTGCCTTTATTTAATTTTTATAATTTTATAACAGTTTTTATTGAAATGAATTGGTGAACAGCTAATGAAGTTCTAATATAAGACATCAGATGTTAATTTGATTAACTGTACAGCCCTACTCTTTGCTTTTAGTAACATATTTATGCGATTCCGCTTTACAGTAAATTGTTAAAGACTGGATGTCAAGATTCTGTCTACGGATGTTCATTTTAACTGTTTAACCGGTTAACCGACCGTAAGAATTTTGACCGAATACAATCAGTTAAACGGTTTAAAAAGTAATTGAATGATTTTTTTCAGTAATTTATCAAAATATTTAACTAATATAAGACATCAGATGTTAATTTGATTAACTGTACAGCCCTACTCTTTGCTTTTAGTAACATATTTATGCGATTCCGCTTTACAGTAAATTGTTAAAGACTGGATGTCAAGATTCTGTCTACGGATGTTCATTTTAACTGTTTAACCGGTTAACCGACCGTAAGAATTTTGACCGAATACAATCAGTTAAACGGTTTAAAAAGTAATTGAATGATTTTTTTCAGTAATTTATCAAAATATTTAAAAAGGTTTGCTGCATTGTTAAAATACGCTACGCGTATAAAAAAAACAACAACGTGTTTTTTAGGGGGGAAAAACATAAGTCGCGTATTAGTCGCATTTTATTATTTGATTCAGAAATAGGCCTAATGCCGACGCGAAATGTTTACAAACATTATAATAAACACTGTAAACATAGCTAGGCTATTTCTCATTCCACACAAAATCAAATGTTTCCGTATTCGCGATGTATTTGAATGGCAAATTATTATTTATTATGTACTTCACTCGCATTCCAATATCCACGTAAAACAAAATGTTTTGCATAACATCAAGGCAGTACTGTGATAAAACTTAACGGCACAGATTTTACTACATAGTTTTTTTCCCCATGTTTGACTGACTGTATTTTATAATGATAATTAACAGACTGCATTGTCAAGGTAGCAATGCTTAACTGAGTGCGCGCATGCGGCGCCCGGGAAACAAATGTAAGTATTTTTTAACGGGTCACAGACACTTATCCTTTCTAATTTAAAATAATCTTGTCGGTTAACGGTTAACGAGCATCGGTGGTCGGTTAGGAAAAATAACCCGAAATGAACATCCCTAATTCTGTCCACATTACGAAAATCCTAGGGCTGAGTAACAAAAGGAGAAAAACAGTCTTTAAGTAGAGGTCTGCACGGGCTTTAAAGTGAAGCCCGAACACGGCCCGTACCCGAGATCGTCTGACCCGACCAGACCCGAGCGGCACAGTTAAATTTAGAGACTGAACCAGAAATCTTTTTTTCCCCCCCCACAACGAATAGCCAATTAAAACGCTGTATTTCACGATTGCATGCAACGGTCAGTAAGCAAATACATGTAAAGAAACAGAATCATTAAGGCTCGGTCAGTTCACAAGGCAAAAGAAAAAACACTTACCAGCTATGAAAGTTTACATAAAAGTTTCCGTGCTGTGTTGTCGTGTGCTATAATGTGTGCGCGTGCGTCTATGAAAGCAGCGTAGCCTGCATATAGTTTTAGTTTAGCTATAAACCCGAGCCCGAAACCCGAAAGTATTTCGGGACCCGTCGGGCTCGGGTAGCAGACCTCTATCTTCAAGTGATAATTATAGGAAAACAGCTCTCTTAGGAATAACACACTATCCATCAAGTTCTTTCTACAATAGTAAGGACACAAACTATTTGAAGAATGTACTGTGAGTGCACCTCCTAACTTGTGTTTGTCTTGACAATTGTCATTTGTAAAAAGTCACAAAAGACAATCTGGCTATACAACAAAAGACAGAATGAGATGAAAAATTGTCACTGAGCAGCAGAGGCATTTCAAAAGCAAATATCCACCCACTCTAGGGCAGTACAGATTCAACTATATTATACATTTTGTGCCACAATTTGTGTATATTTATATTTTCTACAGTAGGTCATCTAAATAAGCAAACACACACATTTACTAATATATATGTAGAGAAATTTTCAAGACCCAATGTAACAACTACACCCTTGAAATTCCCTTGAATCTGTATTCAAACACACGGTGACAGAGTGTCTCAGCTCTGTCAACATATGACATCTGATACTAAAGATGGAACAGGGACAGACATAGATTGACAGGAGGAGGTCTGTGTGTGCAGTTCAACCACTGAATATGCTAAATGGTATGACAGCAGCATTGAGAGTAAAGGCCTGTTCACACCAAGAACTAAAACTATAAAGATAACTATATTAGTCCACACCAACGGACGTTATCGTCTGTTTATTCCAAGCACACGCTCGTCTGCCACTTTAAATTCTCGAGCTCGTCATAGCAGGATTGCTTTTGATTGGCTGTCAATGTTTTTACCAATATTCATCAGCTGGAAAAAAATCGTTCTGAAAGTGATTCCAACGATATCGTTTCTCTGTGCCTTTATCGTTATAGCTGTGGTGTGAACTCTGCTATTCTTTAATATTGAGAACGATTTTTAGAACTATATCTTTATCGTTATCTTTACAGTTATCGTCCTTGGTGTGAACAGGCCTTAACACTGGTTTCTTCTTAGGAGAGGACGAAGATGTAGGTCTTAAAGAGTCATTAACCGTACCTGCTTGCCGTACAGGCAAATCCAACTGTTCAGACATGGTCACCTGCAGTAGTGTAGACAAAAAGTGCACCTGGGTATGGCCCTGTGGAGCGAAAAAAATCACAATTGTGAGAAATGCACAATTTAGCATTTGACTGAATCCTGATAATTTAAAGTACAGTTTGGGGTTTGGGTTCTGTATACATTAATTACCATTCAGATGTAAAAGTGGTTCAGGTTGCATGAGAATTACGTTTGTGATAGGAAATATTCTGTATAAAAATGCAGTAAAAAATATTTTTTTCCAAATACAACTGTTGTTCTTCAGTGTGCGGCAGACTTTATATTAACTGCTAGGGTGGACGGTTTACAAACAGAGCTGTATTGCTACACTGGATGAACCGAAACAGCATTTCAGGGAACTCCTTGAAAGTTCTCTTCCAAATAAACACCACATCTGCTTCTGGCCTCTGATAGCAAACCCCATAAACATACAAAATGAACTAGTCAGCGAAGATTTCTGTGGAAAGAACCACTGACATCTAGCCAACTTGAAGCGTCACCATTTATGGCCATCTCAGTGTGTTTTCCCTCCTTTGAATATGTTCTTTCAAATACAGCGTGTCCCGAGATTAACATGTCCTGTGGTGATTCCATTGTAATAAGCTCTGAATAAATGGACACAGCTTGAAATGCCATGACAGCATTCTCACCCGACCACCAAAGCGTCAGCACACAGGAATCCATGCCTGCTGTCCACATGGGCCGCCTGGAGCCCGGCCAGAGAGTGACTGTGTCACAGGAGCCCGCAGCAGGCATCGATCTTATGGCGCTTTTCCACTGCGTGGTACGACTTGGCTCGGTACGGCACGGCACGGCTCGGTTTGCGTTTCCACTGCAGTTTAGTACTGCTTTAGAGTGGGCGGGATTATTCACATGTCGTTATAGCTGCGCCGCCTCTACTGCCGCGACTCCTAAAAAACTTTTT